TTTTTTAAAGGCCTAACGAGTGTGACCATTGCACTTAACGGTTAATAAATAGTACCGTTAGCTTGCATTGGACGGAGGGATGATATTAACATGTTTTAGCATTGTAGAGGGACAACAAGTGGAGTTAATTGATAGTAGAGGGATGACATGGAGTCAATCCATAATAGAAGGTTTAGATTGCACTATTTTTGATAGTAGAAGAACGATAGATGGCATTAACCCTTTTAATAAAGAGACGTTGAATCTTGAATCGGAACTTTGTGGGGACCGGGCGGTAGCCGGTTGTCGATGCCGACAAACAAAGGGATCGCGCCATGTCGACGCCAAAATCCACCGCTTCTTTGAAAAGATCATGACCGTACAAGTAGTACACGTGGACAACGATGTGCAAAGTTTAGATTGTCGTTGACATTTTCGACGTATAATCCCACCCATCTTGAAGTAACTGAGAGCACGCTGACCGGAAGCAACCAGACCACAGTGAACGGTCGACGGACTGTCCCGCCGATCAGTCTCCGGCTCTTTGCAATATTCGGCATAAATAAACCAAATAAACTAAAAGGTTTAACAGTGTTAAAACCATCTCGCCCTGTCTCGTACGGATCCGATCAGATATATGGTAAAATCTCCAGTTCATTGAAGCCTAATCCGTTTCTCATCATCGGATTGGGATGGAAACGCCGGCGTTGAAGAAGGCTGGAGACCAGAGGGGATCCGAGAGGTATGGACCGGACGGCAGCACCGGAGGCAGCAGTAATGGTGTTGTTGACGCCAACAACAATCGAGATAACAACCATGAGAAGAATAGGACTGAGGATTTTAAAGTTGGTCACAGGAGTAGCAACAGCAGCGTCGGTGAAGAGGGAGGGCGGTTTGAGTATTGCGGGTGCGTGTATCATTTAGGCGTCAACTCCATTGGTCATGAGTACTGCCATCTTCGGTTTCTCTCCATAAGAGGGAAATACGTCGAGATGTATAAGAGAGATCCTCACGAGTACAACGGCATTGTATGTTTGATTGCTTTCTCTTTTTCCTCTTGATTTTGAATTTATTACTTACATAGATTGTTCAGTGGGCGAGAAAATGTAGATCTAGAAAAAACAGTTCTTATGTTTTCTTGTTAACCCTCAAATAGATCGAGATTGATTTCTTACAAGCTTGATTGATGGTACTTTGTAGATGCTAGCTGTTTCCGAGTGAATTGGCAGGGTGCATCTGTTGAAATTCTAGCATTTTTAGTAATAGTTTTTAATTGATCAAGAAGCTGAATGAAATTCGCTTGAGGTCTAGCGGGATCGATATATGGGAACATATTATATTGGACTAATTTCAAGTCTCACTGCTGTTTCAAATATTTGCTTGTTTATTGTTGGGTGCTAATCATGTATCTTATCATTTTTGTTGGTCCAGATGCCGATTAGGAGGGGTGTCATAGGACCCACGGTAATGGTAGAGGAGCTAGGTCGTCGGAGAGTCAATCATGGGGTAAGGCCTCAGCACTTTTGTATGGAACTTGTTTACTGTTATAACTGAAGATCGGTTTTTAACTTGTAGTGGACTTATACTAAGACTATGAATTGGAAATTTTTTTTGTTTATTTTCTGCTTGTTTTATCTAACTGTTTGCTTGCAGTTCATTGTGAACTTTCTTGGTGATGTTGAAATAATCTTATTATTTTTATCAAATTATGGAAGGTTAATTACATGCCTAACATTCATCTTTTGTTTATGGATTGTAGGATCTATATGTAATACGGTTTTATAACCGATTGGATGAGTCCAAGAAAGGAGAAGTAAGTTTTGTTTACATGATAGAATTGCATTTCATTGGTAGATACTAGGAGATAAATACCATCTTGTATTTTCATATGATATTCTGCAAACCAGCTTGTATATGAAGCATGATATTCTGGATAATTTTTATGACATTTGCGTTTATATAATATTTGCTTGGGATATCCTCAAGCCTAAAATGTTGTTAAGAGCTCAGTTCACTTGTAGCCCTATGGGTATGTGTGCCAATATTGCTCACAACAGATGTATTCTTTTGATCCAAGATTGCTTGTGCAACAGCTGGAGAAGCCCGGAAATGGATGGAGGCATTTGATCATGCAAAGCAACAGGTACAACCGTACAAGAAAATTGGCTAAATTGATGTGATTTACGTGTTAAAGCAATCATGTGAAAAAAATTTGGACCTATTCTTGCAGGCTGAGTATGAGCTTTCAAGGGGTGGCAGTGTCAGACAGAAATTGAACTTGGAGGCTGAGTATGCCATTTTTACTAGATTCTCTTGTACTAACAGCTTTACTTTTTTCAGTGTTTGTTTAACTCTACCTTTGGACTAGGATAAATATTTTGGGGTTTTGGATGTCTATTTCATTATAAAACCTTACTTGACAAGTTGGGATGAAGGAAAGAATGAGAAGAAGAAGATTCTTATTACCAATAAGACTTAAATGAAGAGATGATTTACAGAGTCATCTGATGTAATTTGAAACACAACTGTGATCTAGTTTAGGAAAAAAATTGGTTTAGTGTTGGCCTCTTCCTACCATCTAGGATTTAGTTTGACCTTGTATTGATTTTATTTTATTTGTTCATTTTGACTCTCTAACTAGAAGGTGAATTAGCTGCAAGTTATGTAACTGATTTAGCTCCTCCATACTTTGACTTACTAAATTTTAAGTGTTACTTTTTAATATTTTTTCACTCTTTTATCGAAGCATCGACCTGGAAGGACATCGACCTAGAGTTAGGCGTTACGCAAATGGTTTAAGAAAGCTTATAAGAATTGGACAAGGTTAGTTATTTTGTTCATTGTTTGACTTTGTTGATGTTTTGTTGCTCTTCAAAGTTAAATTACAGCAATGCAGATGTTTTAATATACATAACAAGATTCTATATTGTAAAATAGATTCTTGATGTGTAATAGACAGCATATTTTCTACTATCAATTTTGCAGTGGAAGTTTGATCTTGCTGTGCATAGCATGCGTCATTTAGATAAATCAAATTGGTGGTTATAACCTGTTAGTTAATTGATAACCTAATAGTTTAATCTTTGAATGAAGAGAGTTTTGCATTCTGTGGTCTCGTTTACATGTTTGGTGTATCTTAGTGGGGTGATGGTGGATTTTTCTCATCTTAATTAAGTTCATGTCAAGTTAAGCCTGCATGTTGGTTGTAATGTCTAGAATTATTTTTTGTTGGTTTTTGGCATATATGGATATTGGAGCTTGCTAATTGTTGAATGAAAATGGTTCCTAGGACTTGATGAACACCCTAGAGGTTTTGGAGGTAAAATTTTGTGTTGTTGTTAAATGAAGAAAAGAAGCTTGGAAAATTGAAGAATTGGAAGATATAGTTTGTCAGGTTTTGATGAGGGTTAATGGATTAAGAAATGAATGGCTAAACATGATTAATGATGTCTCAAAGGACCTTTTCTAAAATGATTTTTGCCTGGAGGTAATGAAACTATCATGTCAATAATTGTACTGTAATACATTCAGATTGATTTTGTATACAACAATGATGGTTAAACTTAAAAAAGGCTTTCTAGTTATCTTTGTTCTTTTTTTGCAACAAATCAGTGAACAAATCAGAGAATTTCCCTTTCTAATATTCTTTTTTTCATTTCAACTATTAAAGGCCCGGAGCCACTTTTGCGGCAATCGTCAAACTTGGGTGCCAATGTTAATTCAGATAGGTACTTTGAAGCAGATTCCACTGATGCAATTGAAGGGCATGAATGGAAATGTGTTCGATCAATAAATGGTACTGTTTTTTATCACCAGTTCTTACTTGCAGCCACATCATAATGTGTTAAATATATATTTTTGGGTCTGTCCTTATCTATCTATCTATCTATCTAAATATATTCTTTCCCATTTTTTCCCAAAAAGAGACATGGTTTCAATGGAAAAAAATTATTATCAACTCTCATGATTTGCTTCCTTTTGGTTTCAGGGGTTAGAATCTTTGAGGATGTGGCTGCTTCAAAGGTATTCATGATCCTGTGGTATTCACCTTGCTTTTGTTGGACATGCATCATATTGGATTTCCAAACATACTTCTTTGATCTTTCAATTCGATTTGATTGTGTTATGACTGACAAAAAATAAAAAAAATTTGAGCTAGAGCTAGAGTTAGAGTTTCTTTCCCATGATATTGGCTAATTCTTTGATGTGGTAATGAATATGTTAATGAATTTCAGTCAGTAAGAGTAGTTTGATTCTATTAAGGATTTGACCTGGAGAGTTGTCATTGATTACCACTGACTCTTTTCTTGTTTCTTCTTTCTTCTCGTGCATATTCTGAAAATGCAGCTATGCTTAATGTTTATTCATGTTGAGAACCACACAAGAAATGTAGTTAACTCATTTTCCTTGGTATTTGTTACATATCAGTAAGAATGTAAATATAGATTTATTAAGATTGATGGAAAACAATTTTCTATCATTATCATTGGAAATAAGTTCCCTGACATGTCTAACAGGAGTCAAGTTTGCAATTCTATTTTATAAGATAAACAGCACCAAGCTCTTCTCTAATGTTTCTTTTTACAGAGTGGGAAAGGTGTTCTTGTGAAGGCTGTTGGTGTTGTTGATGCAAGTGCAGATACTGTTTTTGAGGTGGTACTAAACTTGGACCGGCATCGGAGATATGAGTAAGTTGCTTGTCTTTTCGTACAGAATTCTAATTTTTTTTTTTTTTTTTTTTTTTGGTAATGCAAGTTTCTGTAATAATTATCTTCACAGGTGGGATATGTTTACAGGTGACTTGGAGCTGGTAGATTCCTACGATGGACATTACGATGTTGTCTACGGATCATTTGATCCAAAATATCTTACTCAGTAATCTTTATTGGATAATTTTTGGTTAACAGCTTCTGTTTTTATTTTTATCTTGGCATCCAACCTAATGGAAAACCCCCTCTTGAGTTCCTTTCATCTATTTTTGCAAAAGCCCCAAAGGCCAAAACTTCCCAGTTTAGTCAAGTTAGGTCAAATTATATTATTTCCATACTGAAATTACACTTTTATTCTTCCATTAGGGATTAGGTGAAGATAAAAATTAACTTTGAAAACAATGTGACAACCAATAACTTGGATGACAAGTGGCAAGATGAGGCATTAACATTTTAACTTAAAAACTAATTTGCAGTAGGTGCAATTTTGTAGAGGCCCAACCACAACAACCCCAAAGTGAACTGATTTGGCATAACGCAGTTAATACCATACTTAACGACATGTTCTAGTTATGCAATTGTGCTGCCCTTAATTTTCATTTCTGTTATGTTTCCTCTAGTTAAATTAAAATTTTACTGTATGTCTCATTTTTGCTTTTGAATTCTGATGGCAGAAAATGAGGGTTAACTGGTTCCAGTTCCTTTTCATTTTTTCGACTCTTGTTGGTTGCATAGGGCCACACAACAGGAATCATATTTCCTAATTAATTTATTGAAGCTACTAATATTCCAATTTTTCTCATCATTGCGTGTAAAATAAATGCATCCTATATTTGCGGACGTTTTATAACTGACATAATAAACAAGACAGACAGTAGCTAATACGTCAGCACTTTAAGGATGGAAGAATAAAATAAAAAAGAAAAAAGAAAAAAGAATTTAACAGCTTTTAACCAAGAAAATCATAACTTAGCATGCTTTCTCATATCTATATTCAAAGAGCCATCTTGGTGAGTGGTGAGACTGGATTATGCTTGTTTCAATATGGCGTAATTTTTATCATGGAACATCCAAAAGCTAACCTTTCTGTAATTTTCAGCATTATGTTCCTTTTTCTAGATACAATAAAGAAAATTAAAAATACTTAGTTCCATGCTTAAATTACCTTATGCTTTATCTGTCTCTTCAGTTCTAACCTTAGGTTTACTTGCATTATGAAATGTTCTGCAGATGGAAATCTAAAAGGGATTTTGTCTTCTCTAGGCAATGGTTTCGAGGGCAAGATGGAGCATACAGTACGAAAACTTGGATATGATGTTTGGCTTGCAATATTTTTTATTTTATTTTATTTATTATTAATATTTTTTTTAATAATAGCATCTCTTGCATGAATGAGTTTTATGGGTTATGGTAAATCAATCTAAATCTGATAGTTTTCATCAGGAAATCTGCATGTTAAATAATTTAAAAGAAAATCCCAATGCAATTGGTAGAATGCTTGCTCAGATTGCTCTAGGTGACATGACCATTTTGATGTCGGTTTTTTTTTTTTAAATTTATTTTTATTTTTATCTTTTGGAATTTAAGATGATGCTTCTACTCTGCTTACATGTGTTTTATTTTTATTTTCAGCAATATTGCAATTTCCTGCTGTTCATAAGAAGCAGCCCCCTAGATCTCATTACCGACGAATAAAACTTAATCGTAAGAAATTTTTTTTCCTAATACTCCATTTAGCTAGCAGAGATAACTTACAGAAAATCATGAGTAACATGACTCACTAATGTACAAATGAGAAGTTAAATATATAGGGTTAGATGGAGATGGTCTTTTATTTTCCAGAGAAAATCTTCTCCTTTCTTAATTATCTAGTGGTAAGGTAACCCCTCGAAGTTCAAGAAAAAAAAAATGCAGAAATCTTTTGAGTTGTTTTAAATTTTGGTTCTGTGAACCATGCATTGAAAGTGACAAACAAGACTTCATTATGTTTTAATTGGTCAAAACTCTTGGAAGGTTAACTTGTTCACCATACCTTCTCTTTTTTCTTTTGCCCCCATTTCATGATCTTTTTCTAGTTATTTAGAAGATGCCATTAGTTTGTGATAGTTAATGAATCTTGTTTAATGTTTACACTGGTTATTTCTAATTGTAGAACTTTTTTGTTGGGTTTTCAGTAATATATATATATATATATTTTTGGTTAAAGTCAATGGATTACTAGTCTGAGTTAAAATGTTGCCCTTAAATAACTTGTTTGTTTCCTGTTGTTTTTATTTATATGATGGATGATAGCATCTACTTGGGAGATTAGAAACTTGCACCCACCTTTGGGTTCAGGTGCAGCAAAATGTCTTGTAACTCAAATGTTAGAGATACATTGTTCTGGCTGGTGTAGATGGAAGAAAAATAGCTGCTCAAAGTTTGAAAAGACCATCCCTTATGCATTATTGTGTCAGGTGTCAGGTGAAATTTCTAATTGAATCTTTATGCTTTCTATGTTACAATTATAATACTAAAAAATTTGTTGGCTTGGTGATATCAAGCATAATCTTTCTCAGCAAATCAAGTCTCTGGTCTATGTATGGCTGGGGCTTTTCATTAAGACATTCTTACTTTACTGGCTTAGACAACTTTTCTTAAATGGTCTTATAACGCATACCTCTTGCTTAAACTCTGTTTTCCCTGTGATATGTGCCCCTTGAAGACAGGGTGGTTCTATGCATTTACTCATTCTGTTCTGCAATCATCCTATTGAATGAATCACGCAGTCCCTCTTGCAAAAACTCTGTTTAAGGGAAAACCACGTAGATTTTGATTATGACTTGTGCTTAGGACAGTTGCAAGGAGGGCCTAGGATACTTGAATCAACGTGGTGCTTGTGCGGTTAAAGTTGTGTAGTGTTTTTGTATTCTGTACCATAATTATGGTGTTTGTTTCAAGGGGAAAAGAAACTTTTAATTTTGCAACAATGAATCGCATTTACTTGATTTTAATTAAGTTAATTCATGCCAGGTATTGGTGCTAGCTGAGCAAATTCTAAACTGGTTAACATTGAACTGGAGTTTTTCTTTGGAGTTTGACCTTAGGATCGGTTGAGTAAAGGAAAGAGAAACAAGTTGAGTGTTAAAGTTGGGGAACAAACATCTTTACACTTCTCAATACTTCTACTGTCAATATAATGTTGACTATTTTTTTTTTTTGGCTGAGGAAGTATTTGAGAATTGCTGGGTATAATGAAGGAGTCAACTAAAACAGAGTGCTTGCTTCTCTTGTTAGAGTCAGACATATACCGCCGTGGATTCAAAAAAGTGTTATGCTGGATTGCTTTTAACATTAATGCTTCTAACTGACGAAATTCTTATGATAGATTTATGAAATGTGCACCATAGACTCAGAGTAAGCCCTGCTTTATTGTTTCTCAGGTTTAAAGGAGTACATTGGAGCAAATCCAGCACTCAAATCTGAATCTTCAACCATGGTTGTCCATTCTCAATATTTTGATAGTCCGGGTTCCAGTGGTGATTATGAAGATTCAGAAATTCGGGATGAGTTCTATGATGCAATTGCTGGTGATTCATCATCATCATCGGACGAAGAAGATGAAGCTAGTGAAGGATGTAAAGTTAACAAGGTCTTCCTTCCTCTTTTTTTTTTTTTTTTTTTTCCCCTATTTGGAAAATATGTTATTTCATACAAAAAACTATTGCACTGATGCTTGGCTTTCAACTTCATAGGAGACAAAAGTGAGGCTGAAGAATGTATCTTGGGCAATCACAAGCTTAGCTTTGAAACGAGCTTCAGGTTCTCTGTTAATGTTATAGTTAAAAAGATTGCTTTATGATTGGTTCTACTAGCTGCTGCTAGATGAGATGTTAGGAAGTATAGCACTTATGGCATGGATATTTGATAATCTAAGTCAGGAAACTATTTAGCTATATCTTTGTTCTTTGCTTAAGGAAATAGTCATTCTCTTTGTAATATGAGAAACTGTTGGGTAACAATGTGGATTTCCAACCTGATATTTATCAGAGTTGTTTTTTGGGCCTTACACTAAATGGGTTGCAATCTTTTGGAGACAGATTTTCCTTAGGTCACTGTCGATGCAGGTCCAGATGCAACTTTAGGAGGAATTATTTTGCTTTTGCTTTATGTGATCATTTTTCTTTTTTGGTTGTGTCAATTGCCAACAAAGATATCTCAGAGCTTAAAAATACCTGTTCCCTTTTGTTGTGAGCCACTGATAAATTAAGTCACTGTCGATGCAGGTCCAGATGCAAATAAGGAACTAGATGCTGGGGTAGCTCCAGTCAATGTTGATCCAAGCCAGTTCAATTGTTCCCTCCGCAATGGAAAGAATGAGACTGACTCAAATTGTTGGGCATCTCCTAGTGGCAAGGGATTTATGATAAGAGGGAAGACATACCTAAAAGATAGTACAAAGGTGGGTGTTAATTCTCTTCTAACTTGTTTTCTTTATTTCTTTAATGCTCTTCTAGATCATTTGGCATGTTGAGATATTTGATTATATTGTCCTGTCTTCCTGGCACATATTATATATCACCAAAAGAGAGACAAGAATATTTGGTATTTTGTTTTAGTATTAGATCTCCAGTCTGCTTGACACATAATGCTGCTGAGTTGTGGGCTCATTCTTGGGGAAAAAGATCTGTTTTGAGTGTGTTCAATCTCAATCTCAATTCTCTTATTGTTTAATTTTTTTAGTTTTTCATTATTCTTTTAATCAAGTTTGAGTTTCTTAGATAGCTTCCAGTTGTAAAAGATTTTGTTTCACATGTTATTTCATAGGACTGGTAGTATGGTATTCTTTTTATTTTTTTAATTTTGATGTGTATTTTTATTTCTTATTCCATATCTGATTTCATCAAATGCTTTTATCTCATTGAGATATCTCAAGTTCTGTGTAGTGCCAACATTAACTTATAGACCTTCTTTCAGGTAACGGGTGGGGATCCACTTCTCAAGCTTATTGGTGTGGATTGGTTTAAAGTTGATAAAGCCATAGATAGGGTTGCATTGCACCAGAGTTGTCTAGTTCAGGTATTATACTAGTTTCCATATTTACTCACAATGTATTTGATTAAAGGAAAAATCATTTAATACCTGACTTGTCACATTTGGCATCTGGCAGATGTGAAACTCAGTTCCAGGTCTTATCAAATTAACTGCATTGATTATGTACCTTTTTATATCAATATTCATTTTGGGACATTGGAATGCCATGGTAGTATGTTGTTTACACTGTCCTTTGTATTAAACATTTCAATTTTGAGTGCCAAAGATTTTTAAAATGCATCATTTAGACTAAAGTGATCCTAGCTTGCCTGTAGCATAGCTAAGAAAGTGCTGTACTGAAGGAATTCTTGCATTCATCTCATTGTCAACTTAAAGTAAAGATTGTTGTGAAGGCAAAAAAAAAAAAAAAAGCAAAGAAGAAGAAGAAAGTAAAGGTGTTCTTCTCTTTTGTCTCCCCGAAAGTTATATCACCATTCACTTCTATGACTAATAGAAAGGAATATATAAGAAAAGATACCTGCAACTTAAATTTGCATGATAGTTCTTAATGTCATTACCCTAAACAGGAATATATAAGCTAAAAAGGTCTATGAAAAGTTGGAGATAGAAGATGTTTGTTCCACTTTTCAAAATTTTCAACTGAGAATTCTTTAGCTGATGGTTTGCTCTTATTTCTGGTAGATGTTAAGTGCAATTTATTATCTGTCCCATGTTCAATGAATTTCTATAGAACTATCTTATCTCTTTTGCATAACATGTTGAGCTTTTATATACTTATTTATAGAGGAAATACAAATATTTTCCGAATTGGAGATAAAGATGCATCTTCTTCAACTTGATCAGATATTTTTTGATAAATAAGCTCATTCTTTAGATTTTATATAATCAAGTGACCCTTATGAGTCATGACCTGCTGCTACTTCTTTGTTTCAGTCAGAAGCAGGGAAAAAGCTCCCATTCATCCTTGTCATCAATCTCCAGGTATGAGTGTGACTCATTTCATTAAAAGATAATTAAGAGCATTTCCTACTTTTATGGCTTGCTTCTGCACAATATGTAGGATAATGCATTGTTTGATTACTTATGAACTCATTTATAGGGAAAATGTATCGCATGAATAGGTTTTGGCATAGTTGTGTCATGAATAGATTTTGATAGAAAGTGAAACAGTGAAAAGAAGAGACTTATGGGCATCGCTTTTGTAAAGGGCCAAATTGTTTCTGGTTTTAGAGTGTTAAAGCACCCAACCTAAAGTTGACAATAGGTGAAGAGGTCCACCTTCAGTATAACACCACAAGAAATTCAGATTTTATTAATGCAGATGGCACCAATGCTTTGTGCTCTGCATCATGTGTAGACTCATAGAACAACTAAAATAAGGCTTATTATTGGGACTATGTAATGGAGCCAGTAGATGACAAATGGAACAATTAACGAGCCTAAGTTCTCATACCATGTTCAAATATCTCATCCAAAACCAGTTGGCAATAGGTCAAGAGGGTCAATTTGGATATCAGACCACAGGAAACAACAAAACTAATCAATGTTAATAGCAGACTGCAAGGAGCCAATTGACTATATAAGGGAGCCAATGGATGACAAATAAAGCAATGAATGAACCTAAGTTCTCATACCATGTTCAAAAATCCAGCCCAAAACCAATTGACTATAAGTCAAGAGGCTTGACTTGTATTCCAAACCAAAGGAAACCATAAAACCAATCAATGTTAATACTAGACCAGAAAAAAGCTGTTGATGGCTCTTTGCTGAGAAAATTTTAAATAGTGGTTAATTTTTCAGAATTTTCATTTCAGTCTTTGAGAAGGAATGATCAGGTTTCTCTCTCAGGTTCCAGCAAAACCAAACTATAGTTTGGTTCTCTATTATGCCTCTGAAAGGCCTGTGAATAAAAGTTCCTTGTTAGGGAAGTTTGTGGATGGGACAGACATGTTTCGAGATTCAAGATTTAAATTGATCCCAAGTATTGTTGAGGTATGAAATGTTTAGTATGACCACTCTACCCATTGTTCTGTTTTCTTTTGGTGAGAACTTCCTTTAAAGCAAATGAAATTAATCCTGTGAAATTTAGTTGGCTTTTATCTGTTTCCTTATGCTGCTATTCAATTCTAATGAGCTTCTGTTGGCTAAAGGGATACTGGATGGTCAAGCGTGCAGTTGGAACAAAAGCTTGCCTACTGGGTAAAGCTGTAACCTGCAAATATTTCAGACAAGATAATTTTCTGGAGGTAATGCAATAAAGCTTTATCTAATTTCCTCGACTACCTCAGTAGTGTTTCTGACTGCTACTTCATCAACATTTTAGTTTTAATACAAGATTGAAGCACTTAACCTTGGGACTTTGCTCTTCAAATGTCTTGAGCAGAAAGTATCATGTGTTGTTATTAAAATATGTAAAGGCTTAAATATCATATAGAGGTTGGAGACTGAGAAAAAGGTTCTGTTGCATTTATCTAATTAGAATGCTTAGTATATTATTCCATTGCAAAAGTGAATGCTATTTAGAACAATGAGTGACAGACTTTTGTTGCATGACCTATCTTACAAAATTTGCACGTAATTGAATGGTTTCAAAAGGTCAAGTTTTATTGGTTTCCAATTAGAAGTTAGATGGAGACAGTTACCTTGCCTATTTCATTTTCTGATCTCAGTGTTTGTGGTAAAAATGAAATATATTATTTCTGAATTTTCTGATACGTAGGTTGATGTGGATATTGGATCATCATCTGTCGCAAGGAGTGTTATTGGTCTTGTCCTTGGATATGTGACAAGCTTAGTAGTTGATCTTGCAATTCTGATAGAGGTTTGTTGCCTTTATGTTAATATCTGTGAGTTCTTTGTTGTTGAGAATATAAATGGCCATCTTCTTTCCAGGATTTTGTTTTTCTTTATCTTGCTGTTATTTGAGTTCTGTGCATGCAATTTGAATGTTTTTATGGAAAGCTAAGGGAAATTTAGCAACTTCAGTTTTCAAATAGTTTTCTTTTCACTGAAATATTGAAGTTGTTTACAGCTTTGGGAACAGAAAACTAAGAGAAACTTCATCCGAACTCTTCTTCAAGTATTAACTTTTAAGCTTATTTGACCCTAGGTTCAAGGTGTTCATCCAATTCTTTGCTCTGATCTTATGTCGGTCTTCAGGTTGCAGCTGTCAATTGTACTATTATTGCTTTCTCAACAAGGCTTTTGAAATACACAACTTTATTTGATGTTGTTCTTGTCTTGATTTTACTTCTAAAATACTTGGTACACAAGCAGTTTAGGTGAAAAATCTTATAACTTTTTGTTGACAAGTTTTTCAGCACTCAACTCCTGTAATCTTTCCTTGTTTTCTTTCTTGTATAATCTCTACAAGTTTCAAACTTTCAACAGTACTAATATTTATATGTATCAAAATCAACTGCTGCACAGATGAAAAGGCTTTAGACATAAACATCAGTCATCTTCCATGCCATATAGAGACAAATTATTCTAATTGTTACTTTCAAAACATGCTGAATACTGGCAATTGCTCTATCTGCAGGCAAAGGAGGAGGGAGAGTTGCCTGAGTACATTCTTGGGACTGTTCGGCTGAATAAATTACAGCTTGACTCTGCTGAACAACTAGAAGTTTGAGGTTTATATATATCGACATTCTTTTATCATCTCTCTTTTCCAAGGTTGATGTCATTACTGCAATAGGGGGGCTTCATCTGTCGAACATTACCCATGGCCTGATATAATATTGCTCTTGCATTGTCAGTTGAACCTCAAAATTTAGATATGTGGAATAAACATCCTTGGGGGTCTTCCCAAACCCCAACTTTACATCACTTCAGTATACGGTTGTGAGGAGGATTAGATTTGAGTTTCTCTCTTGCTAGCTCTATGGTGTTGTACCGAGCTTGAATAAGTTATTGGTGCCTGAGAAATTTCACTTGCCCATATTATTTAGAGCTGGACAAGATTATACTAGGTAAAGAACAGTGGACAATTTTGTACACAATTTAATGTACAAAATAGTATATCCATCTTTATCTTCCATAACAGGGGCATTGGGCTTCTTGTAATGCATTTTTTATGGAACGACATCCATTATTGGTCTGATTACATTTTTACCGTACGCAATAGAGTCGACAGGAAACTTGGTATCACCAAAGTTCTAGTTGTATTTGAATTTTCATGTTTTAGGGTGTACTTTACTCCTTTTCTTCCATTGAACCGTTACTAATGCATTCACCCCCATAAAAATTCCTTTTATTTTTGTAATTTGTTTGTTCACCTCTGTGGGAGTGGGAATCTTTAAGGGTCATCATCTGTTGATTTCTAGAGTTGTATGGTACTTTCTCATAGACGACATCAAGAATGTTAGCATCTGGACATGAGACTTTCAAATTGAAAATCTTCAATTCAAATCTTAGAATACACGGGGAGAACTGCGGAGAACGGGAGGGTTATTCGTGTGGTAGGACCACTGAAAAAGAAAGAATTAAGTGCGCAGTGGGGTGTTTTCAAATTCCATGGATTTGGGTCCTACAACTAACACATACATATTAGAAAAAAAAAAAAAAGGGAAAAAAATCTCAAAGGGGTGAAATGTATTCTTCAATTTCCTTTAACCACTCCACTTAACTTTCCGTCTTTGCCTTTTGTTTTTCTTTAAACAATACTTTATCCGCGATTAATGTTTTATGCTGGTAGAATGTTAAGCTTTCTTTGATGAAATGAGCTTATACAATAGAAGATTGCTAGACTTTTAATCTCTATATTTAAATTAAATCTCTAATTTAGAACTTTTAAACTCCTTATTTATTAAATTTAAAATCTTTAAAGCGATGCTTTAAACTTTTAAATGTTTATTCTGGTGTATGACCCGCATCCTATATGGTTGATTCATTAGTTTCAGCACCGTTAATTTTTTTACCAAACGTTCCCCTAATTTCTTAATAATTGCCTGTTGAAAGCTCTAAACTACCCCTCTCGAATCGCATCATTATCCCAGTTTAAGGACATCATGAGTGTGTTTTGAAAATTAGATCTCAAGATATCAAATCAAAAGATGTGATGAGGCAATTAAGCTCCTAATACTCTTTTTGACTCACAATGGGAATCCAATTACCCTGAAATTCTTCTTTTCCTAAAAAGATGTGTTCTTCATTCACCACACGCCCATTCGGGTCGGTGCAGTGTCTTTTTCAAACCTGTCTTGGGAAAATTTCTCTAGGAATCCTTTTCACCTTTCAACCCATATCGTTGAATGTAGCCATCTTTGCAGAAACAAACAGTTTTTGGCTTACTTTTTACTCAATCTCCTAAATCTCTTAACTGAGGACCCACTTCCCATGGTTTTTTTTCTGGTAATTTTGTTTCTTTAGTGTGGCTATGACCTACAATACTAGAGTTTAGTTGAGTTTAATTTGAAGCTTGTGTTATTCAGCATACCTGATAGTCTAGGTGTCATTTATGTGCTTTTCTTTTTTCTTATTTACCAAAAGAAAGGAAAAAGAAGAAGAAGAAGAAGAAGAAGCAGCAAGCCATTGGGTTCTTGATCCTATAATTAAAGACATGGATGGCTGTTTATCTTGAATCTTCAAAAGAACCCTAACAAAGACTTAGAGAGAAAGGGTGTTGAAGAAGTTTCATGGCAAAAGAGCTAGTCTTTTCTTTAAAAAAAAAAAAAAAAAAAAAAAAAA